TTCCTCATGAAGGAGAGAGGAAATTCCTGTTCTCACATGGACTCAAGGCAGTACCTTTTCCAGCATTTTTGAGGCATCTGTCACTATTTAGGGCATTTTAATTTCGTAGGAAATGCCAAAACCTCATGCCCAACATATATGCTGTTACATGCATGGGATGAGCCCTCTTTTTCCATGTGTGATGATACCTAACAGCCATGGCACTGGAATTCCAGGGAGGATCAACTTCTCCATGGCTTAACTGGGCTGCCATTCCCAAGTCCACAGCTGCCTCTGCTGTGGGTTGAACACAGCTGTGAATCCGTCCCTTCCCGACGGATCTATTTAAATAAACAGAACCTTTCCCATATTTTTTGGTGGAGCATCTTCTCCTGAATACTGGGCACAGGGGAAAAAAAAAATCACAGGGTTGGTGGGTTTTGTCCTCCAGTTCCCTGGAGAAGGATGATGTTGAGGGTGGAGAGGAGAGACTCCAGGACCCACTGCTTTGCCGCCTCGCTCCGTGTTTGTCTTTCCAGTTTCTCTCCCTCTCAGGTCTCAGCCCTTTCCTTGGATCCATGTTGGTTTAATTCAGTAATATTGGAAAAATGCTCTGAGACCTTCTAGTGGAAGTCAGAGAGATGAATTATAATTAGCACAGAAATTGGCAGACTTAGCGGGGGAAAAATGTGAAGGAATGTTTGATTTTCGTGGCGCTCAGTAAGATTTGGGGTAAAGACTTGTCTCTGTATTAGAGAGCTTTAACCTCCACCTGGGATTAAAATAGTCCCTCTCTCCTCCTTGATGAAAATACGCTTTCTTCAGCTTGTAGCCCCATCCTTTTTCACCTCACCTCGAAATAAATGAGCTCTGCTGGTATAAAACCACCAGTGGAGAGGTGGATAAAGCAGATGGTGAAAGAGGGAGGTCCCACTTAGGGTGTCATGGTCCTGCTACTTACCTGGGATGAGCTCTGCAGCTTCTTAGATGGCTTCATGAGCATCTTTAGGATGCTATTCCTGCTGGGACCAGGCTCAACAGGAAAGGAAGGGGCACAGGGAGCTGGAGAGTTTTCAGCTGGGTCGGGGGAGGTTGTGGGAGGGTCTGATGAGCAACAGAGCTGGCACGAGGGAGGGAACAGATTGCCTGAGCCTGGGAAGGGGGGCAGGATCTCCCCCTTTCCATGGCAGGAATCCACTGGGGCAGCTCAGTCAGCACCACCAGGGCAGGATCTGGCTCCTCCAGGTGCCAATGGAGCAGGTCCTGCTCTGAGCTCCCATCCCTGTGCTCTGCTGATGTGAGATGGGGCTGCCTCGTCCAGCTCAACAACACGACGCCCTCTCAAGTTCCAACAGGCCCAGACTGGGTTTGCTGGGGTCACCTTTTCCATCTAGATGGCTGGAGTTTTAGGGAAACTCTTAGAACCCGAGAAAAGCAAATAAAGGATGGGAAGGAGATGGGACAGAGATCAGGAGGATGCTCCCAGTTGTAGGTCTGAGATGTCCCCGTGGTGGGGTGGAGGTGGTGAAGTGAGAGCAGCTCATGACTTCTTCCCTAAACTGAGACATGTCTTAGGTGGGATTTTTTTTTTCCATCCCAAAATCACATATTAAAACTCATTAAACCTCTTTTTTCTCAATAGGTTACATTCCCTTTGGAACACCCATCGTAAGTATTTTAACATCTCTCCCCACTTCGTTTGTGAGCACCAAGAAATGCATTTTTTAGCACAATTCTCCACATTCCACCTTCTCACCTCGTGAAATGTTCCCACAGGATTCCCACCTTTCCCACTTAATGTTAACAAGGGTTTAATCATGTAAAACCCACCCTCTGGTTGAGGTTCTGTATCTATTAATATATTGATTTTATCTATCTGTTGTATGTGAGATTATTTATCTATTAA